CCTCGACCTCGGGCCGAGAAGAAGTTATTTAGCTTGGGCCAACGGGCCCGGCTAATGTCGAGGATCTGCTCGACCTCAGTGGCGCGCTTGTCAGCATCTTGCCACGTGGTGAAAGTCTCGAGCTCGATCTTTCGGTACACGCGGGAGGGGATGCCGCTCAGGTACTTGTCGCGTAGCTCCAGGTCCCCATACCCAGAGCGGTCCGCCGGACCCTTGAACAGCGCGGAGAACTCCGCAGCGGTGCATTTTTCACGGACTGACTTGTCCGCGCAGAGCTTCGCCAGCTCTACTTGTGCTGCCACCTTGTCGTCGAGATTTCCGAAGCGGGCCTTGAAGGCGGCGGCAAAGGCCGCTTCATTTGCGAATGGGGTCGTAGCCCCTTGCACACCTATCTGCACCGATACGAGCTGGGCGAAGTAGGGGGTGGCCCAGGCGCGGGCGTCACCGTCGAGCAGGCTTAGTGCAACCTGGACTTTGAGCTCGATGGTGGTCAACGACGTGTTGACCATCCAGTAGATGCGCAGCTGCGACAGGAACCTATTGCAATTGATGACGGTTTTGCCATCGTATCGGAGTGGAAGGAGTTTTAACGTCTCCTTGTCGAGGGCGGCTGCGGGGGACAACATTATCGGCGTCGGGGGGGACGGAGGACACTGCGGGGGCGGAGGCGGCTGTGGTGGCCTTCCGCCGGTCGAACTTCGGGAGGAACGAGTGCTCGAGCGGCCTCTCGGCGGAGTCGGCGGTGAAGGCGCCGGAGAAAGTTCGGCGGAGGGGTTACGTACGTCAGGGACTGCTGACGCGGAGGCGAGCGCTGTCGGCGAGGCGGGCCGAGCAGGATCCGCGGACTCGGACTCCGAGACTCCTTCTTCACTGTCACCCTCCTCAGGCTCAGGCTCTGGCGCAGGGTCTGAAGATCTCCTCGCGCTTGATCGACGACAGTTTGAGGGAGGCGGGAGGTAGGGGAGACAGGGCGAGAGTGCCGCGAGGCCGATCGAGATGCGAGGGTACTTCGGGGTCCGAGCGGGTGTTGCGCTCGTCGGATTGCCTTGTAATGAGGGTAATCTTCCTCGATCGATCGGGGTGTCCGATTTGGGCACGGCTGCTGCTTGCAACGGTAGAGGACAGTCTCAGGGCCGTCTGGGATGTAGACGTCGATGAGGTCCTGGGAGTCGAATGCGTGGATCTGGCCTTGGCAGGCAGCCACGATGGATGGGGGGAGGACGGGGAGGTGCGCTTACTAAAATGGCCGTACTACACTAGCCTACGTTACGGCGCCCGAGAAGACACTAGGGTTTGCAGTTCACGTGGGGCCCAGTACTGCTTTTGACTATTATGCAGCAGGAACCTAGTCCACGCGTCCATGAGGACAAGTACCGCCCACTGAAGTGCAGGTACTGAAGAGTTCGTTCCCTAAGTGGTGGCGATGTATGTACGCTATCTACGTATCGTAATGTACCGTAGGGGTGCGCACCACCCGACCTGTGGGAAAGGAAAGTGAATATAAGGGGTCCCGAGGGGACGCCGGCAGCTTGGGGAGTTTCGACCTAATGTCGCGACTTGAGGTCAAGCGACTAGAGAAAACTGAAAGGCTGGGGGCGTCCGACTAGATCTCACCGAAGCGATGGTGAGCAACGCTCAAACCTAAGGCTAGGGACAAGTAATATATTAGTTAGTTAAGTAGGAAAGGAAATACAAGTGAGGGCTTACTGACCTAGGGACAAGAGGTCGAAACTGAGGTCCCTAGGGCAGCAGAGGCCGGCTTATATACATGGGGAGATAAGGGCAGGCTGTGCGCGTTGGTCCGTGCGCAGCTGGTCCATGCGCAGCATGCTGACGCGGCCCCGGGGCCGGTGAGTCAGAGAGGCTGTGTCAGTGGAGCCCGAGCTGTGCCGCGCACTGCCGTCCTATCTAATCTAATCGTACAGTAGATGTGATGCGTCCGTATCAGGCAAGTAGTACAGAGGTCGCGGGTTCGAGCCCGCAAAAAGGAAAAAATTAAAAAACGGCTAGACGCCATACCAAGTCGTGACAAGTCGGGCCATCTGCCTGAGGGTGGAACGCTGTGGACAGCGCCGGCTCGATTCCCAGACCCTTGTACACCGCATGGAGATATTTCAAAGCAAACTGGGGACCTCGGTCTGATATGACCTTGGCTGGGGCCCCATGATGCTTGAACACATCGCGGATGTACAGGTCTGCCACGCTTTCTGCCATCAGGGTCTCATGACAGGCCAAGAAGTGGACCTGCTTGGTAAAGTGGTCGGCAGTGACCAGGATCGAGTCGAATCCATCAGACTTCGGCAAGCCAACGATCATATCGGTCGTGATGATCTGCCACGGGCGCTCGGGGATCTCATTTGGCTTCAGCGGGCCCTGGGGTTTGGCTGGGAATGTCTTGGTACGGTTGCACACGTCGCAGGTGCTTACGTACTCATTGACGAATTTGGACATTCCTGGCCACCAGTAATTCCGCGACACGAGCTCCAGGGTTTTGGCATGACCGCCATGACCGGCGATCGGCAAGTCGTGGTGGATTTTGACTATATCCCGCCGGAGCTCCGCGTTCTTTGGGACGTACACACACCCGCGGAACAGCAGAAGCCCTTGTTCAGCATTCCACTTCTCAAAACCCCTTTGCAGCCGGGGCGGCCCGAGGTCCTGCACCTTTTCGAGTGCCTCGGCCACCTCCCGATCCTTCTCCAAACATTCCCGGATGCGCTTCAGAAGTGACTGATCGGCCGTCACTGAGGCATGACCGTGCTGGGCGGAGGCGATGCAGAAGCGATCTGGCTTGAGAACCACCTGATCAGTGTTATCGTCCTCATCGCCGATCTGGTGGTCTGATCGACATGACAGGGCATCAGCTTTTCTATTGGACGTTCCGGCCTTGTGTGTGATGCAGAAGTCAAAGCGAGCTAGGAACAGTGACCAGCGTGCTTGGCGACACGTGAGATGCTGAGATGTGCGCCAGTACTCGAGGTTCTTGTGATTGGTGACGATCTCGAACTGATTGGGTAACCCCTCGAGGTAGTGGCGCCAATCATCTAGTGCTTCGATGATGGCGAGCATCTCCTTATCGTAGATTTCGTAATTCTGCTGTGCCGGATCCATTGCATGGGATCTGAAGGCGATGGGATGCCATTTGCCGTCATCCTGCTTCTGCATCAATACGCCTCCAGTGGCATACCCCGAGGCGTCGACTTCAATGCGCGTTTCCCGATTAGGGTCGTACAGCGCTAAGACTGGAGTCGTCGCAAAGAGCCGCTTGAGCTCATCGAAGGCATGTTGCTCCTCTTCGCCCCAATGCCATGGGTCGTTCCCGGTGAGCCGGTCGAGTGGTCGCGAGATCTTAGCGAAGTCTTTAATAAAGCGGCGGTAGAAATTGGAGAACCCCCGGAATTTCTGAACATCTTTTTTGTTCCGGGGTACCGGCCACTCATTGATTTCTTTCAGCTTCACGGGATCCATCGCTACCTCATCGCCACCGAACACATAGCCGATGTAGTCGACCTTGGGAACGTCCCACTCGCATTTCTCCGGCTTCAGGAACAGATTGTTGTCCTGAAGGCGACGTAGAACCTCGCGTGTGACCTTTTCATGCTCCTCTTTGTTGGTGGAGAAGATGAGTATGTCATCTAGGTACACAAGGATCTTGCCGCCAATGATGAGATCATGGAAGATTTCATTCATCATGGCCTGGAAGGTCGCGGGGGAATTAGTGAGACCGGAGAACATCACCAGGGGTTCGTACAGCCCCCGGTTGGTCACAAACGCCGCCTTCCACTCATCACCAGCCTTGATCCGGACGTTGTTGTACCCCCATCGAACATCGAACTTCGTAAAGAGCGTAGCGCCGTGGAGCTTATCCACCATCTCGGCGATCAATGGTAAGGGGTAACGATTCTTGACCGTGATTGCGTTCAATCGGCAGTAATCCTGTATGGGTCGAAGCGTCCCTTCCTTCTTTTTGATGAAGAAGAAGGGGGACGAGATTGGCGACTTCGACTCCCGTATGTAGCCCTTCACTAACTGCTCCTTTAGGAACTTGTCCAGTTCCTCCTGCTCATTGTTCGACAGTGGGTATACTTTTGAATGGAACATGGAGTAGCCGGGTACGAGTTCGATCACGTGATCGTACGGCTTCCTTTCGGGTAACCGCTCTGATGCTTCTTTGGAGAAGACATTTAGGAACTCGTGGTACTGTTTAGGTACTGACTCCTCAGCAGTTTTAACGACCTTCTTCTTGATCTCCTCCTCAGCGAACAGCTGAGAGTACGTGTGCCCTGCTGCAACGAATAGCTGAGGGGCGCCGGGAAGCGTGACACCTTGCTCCCAGGCCTCGATCAGATCGGCCTCATCCCACTCTACTTCCGCCAGATCCTCTTCGGGTTCAAAGTCCGGGAGTACCTTACTCCAGCAGGCACCTATGACCGACCGTTTGGACTTCGGCGAACGCCTGCACGCCGTGGGCCTGACCCCCGTATCACGCGCAGTCGTCGCTTGCTCCATTTGGCCAGTTTTCCTGGCACTGCACGTTTCAGGGCATCGTGATAGCTTTAGGGAGCCCGACTCCCAATCGATCTCGGGGTTGTGCTCGCGCAGCCAATCCAACCCGACGATCACATCCTCTGGACCTATGTCTGTGACCATGAACACCGTCTTCTCAACGTGATCTCCTATTTGCATCTGTAGCACGGCTACCTCCGAGATGCTTCCATCTTTATTGAGGGTGCCGTCGATATTGTACAGCGGAATTGGCTCCTTCAATTTCTGTGTTTGCACCTTATTTTCTGTAACGAATCGCTTGTTGATAAACTTCGTGGTGGCTCCGCTGTCCACCATTGCAACTATATCTTTGTGCCGTCTTTCTCCTTTGAGGCACACCGGGATGTGGAAGTGCTGGGACCCGTGGTCCAACTCGTAAACATTCGCGGTCGCCAATACATTGTATAAATTGTTATTACGAGGTCCGATGCGTGCGGCATGAAGCGCGGACCGGATCAAAAACCCTCCTCCTTCATCGCCCAATAGTGTTCAAGCTCCTCGCGCATCGACTTCATCTGTGCTATCAAGTCCACCAGCTCGGAACTTTCCAATTTCGCTGAAGGAGCACTTGTACTCGCCGAGGATGAAGCGACGGGGGCGCTTGTCGCAGCCTGGGTGGAACCCGAGGCAACCATAGCCCGCGCGTCGGCGCGTTTTGTGTAAGGCTTGTCCTTACAGTTGGGGCACTCGAAACGTCGGTACCCTTGCTTCCCACAGCCAAAGCAGGTGCCGGGGAAGTTTCCTTTTCCGACGGCCGCGTTGATGCTGGCCGAAGCTGCGTGGGATTGGGGTGCACCACCACGTGCCCCTCCGCGTCCTCGGCCTCGAGCCGAGAAGAAGCTGTTCAGCTTGGGCTGATGAGCCCAGCTGATGTCGAGGATTTGCTCGACCTCGGTGGCGCGCTTGTCAGCGGCTTGCCACGTGGCAAAGGTCTCGAGCTCAATCTTTCAATAGACGCGGGAAGGGATGTTGCTCAGGTACTTGTCGCGTAGTTCCAGGTCCCCATACCCGGAATGGTCCGCCGGACCCTTGAACAGCGCAGAGAATTCTGCAGCGGTGTGCTTTTCTCGCATGGTTTTGTCAGCACAGAGCTTGGTGAGCTCTACCTGTGCCGCAGCGGCTGTCGCGACTTAGGGTCGAGCGACAGGGGAAACACAGACTTTGAAGGGTGCTGGGGGCGTTCGACTGGATCTTACCGAAGCGATGGTGAGCAAGGCTCAAACCTAAGGCTAGGGACAAGTAAGTTAGTATTTGAAAGGTAAGTAAGTACAGGGGCTTACTGACCTAGGGACAAGAGGTCGAAACTGAGGTCCCTAGGGCAGCAGAGGCAGGCTTATATACAGGGGAAGTTTAGGGGAGGCTGTGCGCGCTGGTCCGTGCGCGGCTGGTCCGTGCGCGGCTGGTCCGTGCGCAGCATGCCGACGCGGCCCCGGGGGCCGGTGAGTCAGAGCGGCTGTGTCAGCGGAGCCCGAGCTGTGCCGCACACATCGTCCAGTAGATGAGCAACTGCGAGATGAAGCGGTTGCATTCAACCACAGACTTCCCGTCATATCGGAGCAGGAGGAGGAGCTTCAGCGTCTCTTTATCAGGGATGGCAGCCGGAGAGGACATTATCGGCGACGAGGAGGATGAAGGACTGCCCGCGGACGGAGGCGACTGTTGTGACTGTCCACCAGGTGAACTTCTCGAGGAACGAGTGCTTGAGCGGCCTCGTGGCGGCGACGGCGGTGAAGTCAATTGAGGAAGCCCGGCGGAGGGGTTACGTTTCCAGCCGAGGCCCCAAGGAGGGCTGGGGGATCGCTTGAGGGGTCGCTGAAGGCTGTGCGACTGCCTCAGTTCTTCTAGGGAGATCGGGGTCTCCTCGTGCTTAACCTGTACTGGCGACAGGTTGGGGGATGCAGGTGCCTGGCAAGGCAGGTCGGGATGGGACGGGAGTGATGTGGCGAGATGCGGATCTCGAGGTGCCAGCATATCGGAGTGCAGGGCCGCTGGGGTGTTGGACCCGTCGGTGATACAACGGTCTACACTCCTATATCGATGCCTGACTCGTAGACGACGAGCGAGGGCTTATGGACAGTGCGTTGTCCTGAAGATCGAGCGAGGAAGTCGAGAATGACCACTACCCCAAGCGAAGAGGAGCAGAGACTTGAATGAATAACCAGGTCGAACTTAGGGTTCGACCGACTAATGGTACAACTACTTATACAAGTACCGACTACGCACGGACCATCGTGTCTATGTGGTCGTGTTAGTGAAGAAAGAAATGTAGTGGTACGATACCAGGCACGAAGTGCGCACGGACCCCATTATGTAAGCTACATAATGTTCAACCTGTGGGTGAGCGCTAAGACAGGCGCCAGTATGGGCGCTAGTAGTACAAGGAATAGAACGGAAAGACAAATGTTTCATTACCCCCCTACCAGAGTCGAAGTCCCATTCGACTACTTACTGTTCACCATCTCCATACAACTCCCAATCTACGCCGTCGTCCTCCTCTTCGTCGAACCACTCCTTACGCGCGTTCCTCCCTACGTTCATCCATTCCTCGCCAGAGAGGTGCTTCTGATTCGGCCAGGAGCTGTCCCACGTCCATTGAGTGGTGTCTGGTGTCCAGTCGGGATCGACTTTGCGAAAGACGACGGGTGTATCGGGATGGGGGCGCGAAGGTCCCGCGACGGGACTGGCGGGGGGTTCGGGGTTAGCGCTACGCGGTGGAGGGATGGGTATCGCTTTCGTCTGCCTTTCTTTCTCCTTCCTCTCCTTCGCCTCGTTGATGATTCCTTCGAGAAACACGTTGTCGACGACCACCCCCACGCGTCGCGCAGGTTCTTCAGGTGGTGCGGATACGTGTCGTTTCATCGGCCTGGTTCCGCACTCTCGCTCCAGGTGTCCAGAGGCTTCTTTTCCGCATCCTGCGCATCGGACGTGCGGACAGTCCCGTACCCAGTGTCGAGATGATCCGCATCGCCTGCAGCTTCCCTTCGGGGTCCAACCAGGGTTGGGTTGCCAGTCAGCCGGGATGGTAGTGCTCCGCGGCGTTGCTTGGAGGAAAGGGGATGGGATCGGGGGGCGTCTGAAGGCAGACGTCGGTAGGGGTGCGGGTAGGGGTAAGTACGCGTTGGGGATGGCGCGCGGGATGAATTTGTTGTGTCGTGCTCGGATGCTGCGTGGTAGGAGCGGTTGAAAGCGATGGGCGACTTTCAGATTGTCGAGCCGGATGAGCTCGGTGAGGACGCGGTCGTCCTGTTGGCGTAGGAGCCGCTTGTGGTGGTCGATGGCCTCGTCGGCTGCCTTGACAGCCTCGTCGTATTCGCGGCGGGCGGAGAGATACGCCTCTAGTGCAGCGCGGTCGGTGGCATTGGTTGCCTCGGGGTTGTGGGCTTTGAGCTTGTTGAAAACGTCGGTGGGATTACTGAGAAGAAGCGTCAGCAAGGTGCT